CGGGGACGCGGGAGCCGGCGCGCCCGTCGGGTGCGTGCGCGTGGGCCGGGGCGCGCGGGCCGGGACCACTGGACTGCGGGGCTCGGTCGCTGCTGGTCGGGATCCTGGATACCCTTGCCCTGCGCGCGCGGGCCGAGCCTGGACGCGCTTACTGCGGGGGCCCTAGGCAATGTCGCTGCCGCTGCGCTCCTCACGAAAACAGCTGGCGTTTTTGCAGCACAAGCGGTGTAAGGCCTCTGGCAGCCTATGAGGGGCGACCCCACCACCCCGGGGAGCGCTCCCCTGCTGATCCCGCACTCTCTCGGGCAGGCAGGCGTAACCCTGGGTGGGGCTGCTTTGCAAGTTGAGTCGGCGCCCTCCTTGCATCCTGTGCTGCAAAAGCCACCGCGCCGCCGCGGTGCAGAGCTGGTGCTTCGGGCCAGTGTCCGGCCTTGGCTCCAGAGAGCCCTTGGCGCCCGAGGTTTCTTCTCACCCAGATTCAGGCAACGCCGTGCCGCTGGATTGCTTGCTGACACTCGTCTTTAGAAAATACACACCTCATTTAATATCTGATATTGGAGCAGGAGGACCTTCCTTGTAGGCTTGTGGGGAGATTATGTACGGTAATGCTTGCAACAGGTGCATAAGTAAATGCTTTAAGACACGATATTACCTGCATTTGCTAAGGGAAATCCAACATGGTCTCAGTTGATTTTGTAACATTAACCGGTGTTGGCTTGATGTTTACCAAGGGAGGTGTTTATATTATAACTGTCTTTGGGGGGAGGCGGACCTAAAAGTATGGGCGTTAGCAGACCTAATGAACGAGGCAGTGCAGACAGTGCAGGATGCAGGAGCCAGGCCTATGCAGTTCAAATACAAAGTAAACCTCACTTCTCTGTGCAGTTTGTGGTTGAACTGTTTTTTAGGGGAGGTTTATTTTTTTGTTTTTGGTGCCAAAAACTGAACCCAGGGCTTGCAGCTGCTAGGCAAGCATTCTACCGCTGAGCCAAAACACCAGCCCCAACCTCACTTCTCTGAAATGGATGTAAGGAAGCACCTTCTGGGTGGGCGCTGGCGAGGGTTAAGTGAAATAGCGAGCTTCACTGGGTGAGCTTCACTGGATGAGTCTACCTAAAGCGAGCTTCACTCCAATAGGGCCGGGCCCTGAGGGTACAGTGCATGGCAGGGGTGGGTGGGAACCAAGGGGTCGTGGCTCAAGTTAATGGTCATTAAATGTAACACCCTGTCTCCGTATTCCTGTTTGCACAGTTCATAAAATTACCCTTAATTCTGTACGTTTTGTGTTTATAGAGAATAATAATGACAGTGTTCTAGGACAAAGATATGCCATTGTTTAGGAAAGCTGTTCCTGAGGCCAGCAGTGTGTGGCTGTGGCTGTGGCTGTGGCTGTGACCATGGCCGTGGCCAGCTCTCAGGAATGTCTGCTGCTGTCCCAGCAGGCGAGGTGCCCACCTGAGGCTTCCCTTGCATTGTACATGACTGTCTTCTGTGTCAGCACAGTCTTTTCCCACATAGACAGGTAGAGTCTTCCCATGGTGTGACTGCTCTGACAAAGTTAAAATAGTTTGCAGGTGTTCTTCAGCCGGCTGTCACAGGGTCCTGACACTGAAGATCAGGCCCTCCCCAGTAGACACACTTTGATGGAATTGCTCCTTTTCTAGTGGCACTGTCACTTTAGGTGGGACTCATGGTCTGACAGCCATCACTCTAGTGGACACCTGTGGCCTGTGGTCACTCACCAGAGATGCCCAGGGCCTTCTGAGCAGCACCTGTCTCTAAGAACTGAGACCTGGGCCCTGGAGCCTGTGGAGTTACACCGCGGCATCCTGAGGGGCATTGGAGAGGTGCGGGCGTTCAGTGAGTGGGGTGGACCTCCTTATCACACTGACCATGGGCTGTCCTGCTGGTTTCAACCTTGGAATACAGGCAGGCATGGGTCGGGTCCAACCCTCTCCCCCTGCTGGGTCTCCAGCCTTGGCAGGAGCAGGCCTAGGGTGCTACTGTCCCGACAGCCTACCCCTCGAGGACACATTGAGATGATGGAACAACGCAGGCCACAGCCCAGGCTGAGTCAAGCCAAACCCATGCACAGGCCAGCAAGAAAGGGAGGTTTGTGCGCTGTGTTTCATTATTGAGTGAAATCCACCACATCCACAAAAGAAGAAACGGCCAGTAAAAGCAGCCACTCTGAAAGTTCACTCAGCAAAGGTGGATCTCGCTGTGATACATGCATTTGAAGAGTGGCCTCAGAAATGGCTCTACCATGACACGCCAGGATTGGCGCTCTCATGTTAAGTTAGAAAGTGGAGTGTGAGGGAGGCAACAGGAGGAACTCATTTCTGCTGGGAAATCAATAAAAACGTTCCCCAAAGCTGTGCATTTAAGACCTATCACAGTTGGGTGTGGTGGCATAGGCTGTAATCTCAGCACTCGGAAGGCTAAGGCAGAAGGATTGCTATGAATTCCAGGCCAACCTGGGCTACATAGCAGAGTGCTGTCTACAAACAAACAAACGTCAAGACCTATTGGATAAGAGAGAGGCAGACAATGAAGGGAACTGTACTGTAGGCAGAGAAGGAGCAGCCTAGAAGGTCCTTGGCATGTGCCAGGCTCTGCCAGAGCTCAGGGATCAAGATCAGTGGGTGTGAGACCAGTTCATGGGGCAACAGAGCCAGCACCTGCAGGACTCTATGGCCCACATTGAGGGGGTTTGGATTTATGCTGAACACAATGACAGCCACCAAAGCACTTTCCTTTTAAACTAAAATTTACTTACATAAGCACATCAGTGTCCTCAGTAGAGTAAATTCAGCTTTTGCATGCAGATAGGAACTTTGGGTTTCAGATGTCTCTGGTTGGAGGCTCTCTGTGTCGAACTCTTGCACTAGTCATGCTAGAAGGAACCTTGTGAAGACGAAGGACTGACATCCCAGCCGGCTCTGCCTAGAAATAGAAGAAAATGAGCTGTTAGCTCATGCAAAGCACTTTTAGATAAAGCACGTGACAAGTACTAGCCCAGCACTTCCCTCAGAACAACTGTGTAATGTGAGCCACACCAGTGAGTAAAACAATGAAATAAAATTCTAAGACATTTTGGCTGAAAATGCAAAAGTTTCTGAATCAATGGAAGAAGCTTGTTAGATAACAGCAATAAAAAGTTGATACTCCGTGGCCGGCCTGCCTGCCTGCCGGTGCTGGCCTGCCCCCGGGGCGCGCTGAAGCAGCACTGAGACGTGGCGTGGTGGGGCATGCCTGTAATCGCAGCTCTTGAGAGGCTGTAAACAGGCAGATCACTACGAGTCCAATCTAGTAGTGAGACCCGAAACACCCTGTAGACCCTTCCCTAAAATACAAAAAAATTTTTAAAAAGATGATACAGTATCTGAGAATCAAGTGAAAAGACAATAGGTTTTGAGTAGCATCATTTCTATCCAATATGTATTTATAACACATTATCCTAAGAATTATAGTTCCATGAAATTTTCATGGGTGCAATTATATATAATCTTTTAAAAATGATAAAACCCAAAGACAAAACCTCTTTTAGAAGAAAGATCAAAATATGTGATTGTTGCCTCTGAATCATTTCAGCGGTGCTGGGAAGGGCAAAGTACCTATTGTACTTCCTACAAAGTGAATAAAATGCGAACGTTTTGTAAGATTCACTTTTTTTTTTCTTGGTACCAGGGTTCGAACTCAGGACCTTGCGCATGCCAGGCAGGCACTTATCCCACTGAG